GTGGGGGAAGCTTTGTTGAAAGTGAGGCTTAATAAAGTATCCACCGCGCCAGCAGTTTGAGATGTATACAAATAACAATGAGACCTGTCTCAAACTCATCCTTTGTAAGTTTGTTGTTGTTGTTGTTGTTTTTCGTTTCGTTTTTTGTGTTTTTTTTACAGAAACTCAAGCTCACGAAAGTCAAAGCATGTTTTAAACCTATAACCACATAAAAAAGGGGGAAAAAGGAAAGTACATAATATACAAGTTTTTAAAAAAGTGGAAAAAGCAACCCAAAATGAAGAAACAAACCAAATTCTAAAAAAGCAGTTATTCGTTTTCAAGACCAACTACGTCCAAGGGGTAAAGCCAATAGAGAGAGAACAGAAACTTCAACTAGCCCTACCACCGCGGATAGCCGTATTAGCCTATATATACCTATCTATGCCAGCTTGCATTCAAGCCTCGTAATCTTTCATCACACAGAGTACCCTTTTTTCCATTTTAGTTTCGCCATCTTCAAAAAAACACAAATCATAAAAGAGGACAGAGATTAGATTTAATAAGAAACCCACTCGGCTTATATTTATAACTTAAAATAAAACAAATTGTAAAGTCAAAGAATCCTACTGAACTAATATGTACAAAATAACTTTATAAATTATAAAAAGAACACGGCACAACTGATTTAGGAAAAGAAAGTTGACTTGAGGTCAAATGACTACTTCCGCTGTCATGTCAGCTTCCTTGAACCTAAATCTAAACACTCGTATCAAGTCAGTGATCTCATTTGATTTCTCTTTGGAGCACAGTACTTGGTCTAGTTGACGATCAAAGCAGTTTTTACCCTTTTTTTCTTTGGAGGGCTTTGGCTTTTTATGATTTTAAGTTGTCATTGGTCCATTTGAAAATCCCATTTTTATAGAATTCAAACAAGTAAGTTGATCTCCTACGATCGTTCAATAATATTCAATTGCTCTTTATTGTTCTAATAGGGTGGGCCTAACCGACCATGATTGACATGATATCAACAAAGAAAAGAACAATCTCCAAACCTTTGTAATTAGAAGTCGGTAGACACGAAGATCTAAAGTCTAGAGTGTATTTACTGATTCAAATGATTGTTTGTGTTGTTTCATGGTTATCTCTTTTGGATTGATTCTTGTAAATTTTAATTTTAATGATTTGATGTTTTAATTTCTTCTTTGACAAAGACTTTAGTTTGTTTATAGATCTAGAGAATCTAGATTCTAGATCTAGATGGCTTCCTTTATAGCCTAACTAACTAGAATTTAGATCTAGAATTCTAGATCTAGATCTCTAGAATCTACACATACATAGAATGTTACACTTACTTTACTCACTTACAAGTTGCGTCTTAGAATCTAGACTAGATTCTAGAAATCTAGATCTAGATTCTAGATTTAGATCTAGATCTAGTTAGTAGACACAATATTATTCAATATATATATATATATGACATAAAATATATAAAGGTTTAGTATCTAGATTCTAGATCTAGTTTAGTGTTTAGACAGTATCCTTGATCCCACCGGCTGGGCCTTCGAGCCCTCTCCCCCTTCCATCTCCCCCTAAATTCCCCTATCAAAGACGGAATTTTTTTCTGGCTCTCCCTTGCGATTCCATCTTTACACAGGTTCGACTGTTTTCATGCCATGAATGGAAAATTATATTATGGACTGCGATGAAAAACATCACTTTTGTTTATATTTTCAAACAGATTAAAAAACAGAGCAGTCACAAAAATACAATGTTGCCTCAGAACTATTTTGTCCAATGTGTATATTTACGAAGTGACTATTCAGACTCGAGTCCGAATATGAAAAAAAGTTATTAGGACTCTGATTCTTGTCCAACATGACATCACTTCCGACTTCCTGTGACTCGTGACTCCGGCTTCCTGTCCTGCCTCACTCGTGACTCGCCTCAGGCTGGGTAGAGACCGGGATCACTTCGGGCAAAATGGTGTTAAATTGTGCCGGAGCCGAGTTTTTATCTTATGATGAATTTGAGGCCGGCCTAAAAAGTTAAAGCGCTTCTAATAAATGTTTATTTATCAAGAGGTCATCAGAAGCAATTAAAGATGGCTCGTTAGCGTGTGTCAGGGTCGGATGGGCGGCCTGTACACATGTGGCTGTGTGTGTGTGTCAGGGAGGGGGGGGGGGCGCTATCGGTCCGGGCGTTGAACGTCGCATACGCGTCCCCCCCCCGGCAACTGATCATTATTACAATAATAAGCTAGTCTTGACGTAGATCTATGTAATGAATTGTGCGCTGGTCTATGGAATCAAAAGTTGCCGTATGCTCGGCTCTACACAGCAACACAACTTTTTCTTGGTAAACAATCGAGATGACACAGGCTTGTGTATTTGAATGAATCAGTCTCTTTTTTTTTACAAAGCTCATAATATGTAGGTGCCAGGAGATCTGCTAATCTTCAATTTTACCCTTTTCTACAACAAAGAAAGTGGGAAACATGGGGGGTTGGGGGGGGGGGGCGTATCAATGAGACGGGGGGCATCGGATCGGCAGATAAAGTGTGTGGGAAACTAAAAGATGGCGGAAAATTGGAAGCACTGAACGTTAGATCTATAGAACGAAGACACTTCCTTTTTTTCCGGACCCGTGTCCGAATAACATTTTTTCTTATTCGGACTCGAGTCCGAGAGGCAACGACAAATGAGTCAAAACCTGGACTTATCATTAAATGTGCTCATTTTGTCTAGCATCAGCCAACGGTTTCATGTAGAGCACAAGTTCCCTTTTACTCCTGAACTGTGTCATATTTTGGACATACCTCTGTCAGTGAGGAACAGAGCCGATGAAACTACCATGTAACGGGGTGTTCTGGCTGGAATAGGCAAAACCCCATTTGTGAGAATCAACAGGTGGCTTTGTTTAGAAGACTACGAACATCATGCTACACCATTATTTTCATAATGATGTCATTCCAGTAGGCAACTTTATTCTTGACAAAACACCTTTTCATAGGGCCAACGCCACTAGACAATTCTGCAGAACCAAATCATATCATTGATGGAGTTGTCACCAGTAACTAGCTCCAATATGAATCTTACAGATATAGTTAGTTGAACCCCATGAAACAATGCAATAGCTGAACAACTCAAATGCTTTGTTTGCAACTTTGTGACATTTGGGATGCACTGACAGATACATTTTTTTGTCCAAAATTTAACACAGTCCATGCTCAAGGGGTTTTACTCTACACGAAACCAGTGGCTTCTAAACAATACTAATAGTCGCATTTGATTTTTAAATCCAGGATTTGTGTGGTATTTGTGGCTGCTCTATTTTCCCTGTTTGAAACTATAGTAAGTAATAAAATATTGTTTGTACAAAGACAAAATTCTTCATTCACTTGATATAAATACAAATCCCTTTCACCTGCGCAGATGCACCTCAATACGGGTGCGAACATACTTTTAAGTGTCTTTGATTTTCACGCTCTTTTGCCAAGCCTGATTTTTTTATGTTAACTTTTCTGGGTTCCTGTCAAAATCTGTTTTAGACTCTTAGTCTTAGAAACCTCCGTTCTTATCAGGACCAGATGTAAAAATATTAATTACGATCATCAATTTGCCAAGCAGATAAATACACTGAATTAATTTTAGTAGACTGTAAAGCCTGAAGCCTTGATGGTTGTATTGTATGCCCTTTAATGTAATGTTTTGCTACATTGTAATTTCCTCTTCTCATGTTCACGAATGGGGGGCTTGTTTGAGGCGTATATAAATTATGTGATCTGTTCTCATGCAGAGTATTGGTACACACTATATTGTCTTTTGACTTAAACTCTTATGGCTCTTATTTTCTTTTGTTCTACTCGTGCACAGGCACAGCCCAGCTACAGCCATTGTTTCACAGGTCATGTAGCCCACACAGATTTACTGTATATGCTCAGCTACCTCAAATAATCCAGACATTGTGATACACAAATGAGATCTATATCAAATTTTAATAAATATGTCCGAGACATAACCTGATATTATATGTGTATATGTTACAGATAATGGCGTCAATGGATGCAGATCGTGGCTCTGATGATACTCGACGTCAAGCGCCAGTGACGGATCAACACCGAGAGCTAGCTAACCAAGCCATGCAGGAGTTTGAAAAAGGGCATTACAATCAGTGCACAAATACGATGAGCCGCCTTGGAGATGCTCGGGCTACCGATGTGAAGGTCGTCCTCAACCGATCAGTGGCTCTGTTCTATCAGAGCAATAGCAAAGCCATTGATGAGTTCCGACACAACATCCAAACTGTTTTCAACATGGTGAGATACTCTGCTGCTAGTTGATGTTACAAGAATGGGCAGTCTCAGACTGTTCTACTTTGAGGTTTTAGATTATTTTCAGTCTTCAAGACGAAAGAGAAACACTTGGTTTTTGCTCTCAGATTCATTCCAAGTTTTGCATTGATTCCAGTTCTAGTATATTGTTCCACACATAATAAAAAAGTGTCAGATTTTGTTAAAAGTTGTGGTTATTCCTAATGGTACGAGCATGTGTCTGATGTTCAAGAAAATTAGTCTGCAACTCAGGTAAATCAAGTCATGCTCAGAGGGATTGTTTTACAATTGTTGGATCGCACAGAGTATCCCTTGTTTATGTCTTTCAAAAGAAATGTCTCGTTGTTATATCTAATATATATATTTTCCTCAATGACAGCAGAAAGTACAATATTAAAGTATAGGGCCACGTAGGTTCTCATACAGCAGCATTTCTACAATATTCAGCTTCTTGCTTCCCATGCATTCAATGCTCTACTCTTGTAGGCATTTTCAGTGAATTATGCGGGTTCTGCTTGCTTGTCCATCTCCAAGCTTCTTAGATAAGGGTAAAACTATACAAGGCTCCATGTGCATATTAAGACGCCTTGGCCATTGAAAGTGAATGAACAATTATCTGTCATCAGAAATCTGTAGATCATGTGATTGTTTGTATCTGTATTATAATTCTTTCTTTCTCTATGCACATGATAATCTCAAGCTGCTCTGAATACGAAGATGTGCGTTTCTTTATTTTCGCCAAAGTCTTCTTCAACTACTCGTTTCTTTTTTTTTCTCCAGGCTCGGATTTCCCCTGACCTCAGTGAGAAGAGCAATCTGGATGATGCCGACTACGCTGTTGTGTACTACAACAAAGCTGTTCTCCTGTATCACGAAAAGCAGCATCGGGCAGCATTGTCTATCCTGGAGAAACTGTTTAGATACGTTGAGCCAATAGGTGAGTACGTCATTGAAAGTTTTATTTTAAACATGTGAAATTCATGTCTACTACTTCTTCTTCATTGTCGATGACAGTTAGACAGTCAAATTAATGGTGCGTACAAACTGTGTAGTCGGCTTTAGATCTTTGAGGCTGCCACGGTTTTCTTTCCAGTGATACATCGCATATTGTCATGTTTGTGCTCATTGGTTTATGGACATTCCGTCATAGTTTTAGCTATATTTGTGGTAGTGAAATGATGTGCAAATATAAAAAGTTTTATGTAGAAATATATTGTTAGTCATTTGAGGAAGACTATATTTGCTCTTGCAAGCCAGCTCAGAGTTTAATGTTATCTGAGTGTTACCCTACCAGTTCTCTGATAACCTGACAATTATTTGTATTTAGTGCTGATAGATTAAAAGATGCTTAAAGGGGCTGATATTGAATTTGATGAAAACTTTTGCAGGATCCAGCAGCACAGGTCATAACTTACATTTTTTGGAGACCTTTGGATGCAATGATTACATCTTTTATCAAATTTTAGAACTACACCAAGTGTAAGGTCAAGAAAAATAATATAATGTGCACATACCCTTCATGAAGACTTGCTGTCAAGTTTGAATATGTCTGACTTTCCCTTTCATGAAATCTTCAAAATGTGCCATAAACTCAGAACATGTACTGATGTCTTCCAGATCTCCGAAACCCAAGGATACGATTGGCTAACCAATTTTGAAATGAGAGGTTTTGAAGAAATTCATGCAATTATTTAAAGTTCATTTACAATGGTCTGTTCAGCTTCAGTCTCATTGGGTTTTCTTTTTGTCATCAACCCCAAGTTTACTCAGCTGAGGCCACTGTACTTTATTGTGAATATATACCCAGGTGATGTTCAGTTCATCCTTTCTCCTGTCTAGTAAGAAAATTTGGTCCCGTTTCAGATGAGGGTCTTGCTCAAAAGGTCATGCTTCTGTTAACAGAGCTGTATTTAACAGTTCATCAGGTATGCACACCATTTCTCCTGACATCAGTTGAGCAGAGAATTTTTTTTTTTTTATTTAGTTTAATTACATTTTCAAGGGTGGGAAAAATTTTTTTTAAAAGTCGCTTCTGAGCTGCATTCTATTTATACTACAGCAGGTATCTCAAATACAGCCAGATCTTGACTTAGTACAGTCTTTGTATGTGATGGTCAATATGGCCTATGTCGATATATATTTTTATACTCATGATCCTGTAAGTTGTCTAAGTCTAGAAGTGTATATTTCAAGAGGATGCCTCTTTATTATAATGCTAGACCTTTAAATTCTTTTAGCGGGATTCTGAGTTTTATCTTCCTTCAGCATGTTGTGTACCTAATCTGGAACAGGAGACAAAAGATCATCAGGGTTTTTAAAAGGATATCCCTGACTGTCATGTTACTTTACTTTTGTTTGTTTGAGGATATTTGCTCTTATTTAAGAAAAGCACACACTGACATCTATTTTATAATCTTTCTCTAGCCTTATGATGCCCTCAATATGGTTCAAAATATTGAGAAATTTCTCACCGGGAAAAGCCAAAACTCACAAGACAAAGACAAGAATGAAAGTAACAATGCAGCTGCCCAGGAGGCCCTCAGGGCTAAACTAACGTTGGTAAGCCATTGGTGAGCCATGTACATTGTACAGGGCATTATTTGTGTTGTTATTGTTGGTATTGCTGAGCAATGTTAAAGGTCGCTGCGCTTTGAGCCTGAAATCAGACTGCCCAAAAGCGTAGTTTTTTTGGCCACTGGGGATCAGAGGTAGCCCCCTTCTTAGTATAGTTACAGGAAAGTTCCTGGACGAAAATGAATGATACTTGGCAACGAATCAAAAGAAAGGCTTAACATGGGAGCATTACAATGGCGACAGATTTCTAGAACCTGAGAAATTGCTGTGTTTGTGTGATTTTCTTTCGTTCTTCAAAAACTAAGAGGAACTGGTGCGTTATCGTCAACCAGATATGTCTTCTGGATTGCTGTAAAATTTCAGATTCCTGTGTCTAGTACATTTTATGTACCAACTTGAAATTACCACCCTTCCAGCGATAAAATTGCGGGATTTCCCTTTACCGCTTTATTAACCCTATCCGTACATCGTGTTTTACTGTTGTATCCATATGATGTGGGTACTCTGTGCCTCCACTTTCCAAAGAGGAAATTTACTTGTTAATCCGATCTTTACGCTTTGCATAGCAGTCTGTCAAAATGATTTTTAGAGAAATACTGAAAGTTTCAAAGAGATCTTTTCTCTAGAAGTATTCTAAAATGCGAAGAATACAACCCCGGGGGTACAAAATGATATGGTTAAGTTGTAGAGAGGGTGATCAGAACAGCACAGATTCTTTTAAGGTCAAAGTCATATCGTTTCTGTAACAGCTGGAGTAAGTTAAACTAATTTCTGAACAGTATGTTCAAAATTAAACCAAAGTTTTTTTTAAGCAAAGATGTTTAAAAAACTTGTGAAGTTTTGTAATGTTTGAACCTGCCTCTCAAGCCTGTGCCCCCTTGTCACTAACAGTTTACGCACTGTCATGCAATTAAACAGTATATTCTTACACAATGGAGTCCAAAAGAAACTTGAAAATATATTCACTCGAACATAGTGTTAAAAGTTTTCACATATCCCTCATGCAGCTACCAATTTAAAGCTAAATAAATTCTGCATCGTTTGAAACATTAATACTTTGTCTACAATATGAGTCGTCTGGGATATAGTCACTCAAAATTAACCGTAAAAGATCAGACCAAGCAAAATACTGTGAAATAAAAAAAACTTAAAAGTGTGGACCCCACTGTATAAAGGTCCCCCAAAATTTTGCTACAAAAAATCCATATAACTTTATTTATTTATCAATGGATTTTTAAAATTTACAAACGTAGAGTTCGTAGAGTTTACTCCTCTTTCATTTGAGCTTGTTTTAATTCATTCAGTTCTGAGCGCTCCAGCAGTGAACTCCCCTCATATACTGATCACTTTTGTTATAGCAACATGAAATTAGGTCTACCCACGAAAATCAATCAAAACTAGCAGGCTCAATGGCTGTTCGAGCAGAAAGAATTTCTCTTTGACCTTTCCTATGATGCATCACGATTAGTAAAATGACATGGTATGGACTAGATAGAGTAATTCTTTCTATAAAGATAGCGAGGCAAAATGTGAGAATACTCGTCACTAGTATGTGGACAGGGTTTCACGAGTATTCTCGTCAGTAGCACTGAATGAGTTAAAAAGCAATGCAAAGAAAAATTAATTTTTCATTGTCATTGCAGTATTGTTTTTTTATTACTAATATTACTTTTATTATTATTTTTATTTTATTATAACTATGATCATACTACTTGCCATCCATTCTTAGTGAGTGGTACCACCATTGAAGCTGTTCGTTTAAAATGTTTCACAAATTCATAAGCAATATTCTAAATTGAAATATATTGCAACTTGTTTTAATTTTTGTCTTGAAAATTTCAGGACCTTATGTTTTCCTGAACAGTTATGTACAATTTAATATTGGATATTTTTCTTTTATCGTGTCGTCATGCTTTTATACTTTTTGCTGTTTATTGTCTCTCTTTTGGAATGCAGTTCTACTCTTTTTACAGCTTACAAACTGAGAAGAAGAGCATAAATTCTGGCTTTGCCTTGTTTGTTTTTTTAATGCATAGTCTGTGCAAGAGGAGAGGATACCGTCAAGCTTATATCCATATTCATCACTAGATGCAGAAATGTTAATTTTTATCTGCGCGTATACCTCACGAACAATCCGATTGCCAGATTAGTGAGGCTGTCACATCGGACACTTTGACAAGTTTCATATTATCAAAATGGTGTCCTTCATTTACCGTTTCGCATTGTTGATTTTCTCCTTTTTTTTTAACACTTTCCACCCATGCAGCGCATAGAGCGCGCAACACTTATCCCCATGGACCAGGATGCAGGTGCGGTACACGCTATATCACACCGGCGCCGAACAGCGTCTCGTGGGGAAAAGAGACAGCTTCTTACTGTCGCCTATTGGTGTCCCGTGGGGTCAAAGTGTTAAAGAATAGAACATGACTCCTTCCAGCAAGTTAAGCTGTATGCTCCTCAATAACACTATTGATATTCTTTTGCAGTACAAAGTTCGGTGTAATCTCATGGCAAAGCAACTGATCAACAAGAAAGAATTTAAGACCTTGTCAGGAAATGTAAGTGTGCTTTATGTCATGTAGGTACTATAGATTTGTCATTGATTTTTGTGCTATGAAGTGATTTTCAAGGCACCGTTTTAAAGAATATTTATCATATTCCCGTTCAAGAAACCAGTAGGAAATCATTACTATCAGCTTATATACCCTGATCACTGTTAGCTTTATGGCTTATACCCCTGGATTTTGCAATACATATGTGACCCCTCCTCCCCATGCTTTTCTTACAGCAGAACTATTTGTCATGAAATGTTTCTTGTAACTGCATTCTAGCTGTTGGATTAAAGTTTCCTTGAAAAATGTGTTCATGCTACTTTGCTCAACTTCATAATCATTTCACAAATGTTCTATTTGTTGCTTATGTCAGAAAACTGTATGGCCATGTTGAATGCTTAGATCTTCTGGTTGTTCAAACATACAAACTATTTCTCTTTTGCAGAGAAGTGAGATCTTAGACTTTTTGTATCTCTTATTTAGTTACCATGAGCATATCGATATTTTAAAATTAATTTGGGATATGCTATTTTAATTTATATTTCTTTTTCAGAGTCACCCTGTGAATTTTGCCAAGGCTTATCATATGTATCTCAGAGGCAATGCGAAGAAGGCTTCCAAAATGCTTGGCAACCCACCGTCAGTTCAGGTATGTCAGTGTCAGTACTTGCTTGAATATCCCACTGGGCCCATTATCCATTTGTTACTGAACCATTCTTAAAAGGTTTGCTTAAAAGCATTGCACTACCCTTTTTAACTTGAATCCTGCATGCTCATATGACCATATGCAGTGGCTAATGCCATAAACTCATATCAAACTAACTGAAAAACCGAAACATATGAGGTGTTTTAAAATCATTTTAAGTTTTAAAAAGATATTCAGATACAACACTTTAACAGGAAAGTTGAATCAATTTTGATATATTCCTCTACTTTAAGTGACACTCGTGAGATCATGTCATACAGGCACTTGATTCTTTCCTAATAAAATGCAGCACCAGCAAGTATCATTCACATTGAAATGAAAAATGGTGAGTGATAGCATACAAGGTGATGTCTCCTTTGTTTGTTTCGTTTGAGAATCTTTTGAGGGTCTCTCTGGTTTGATTGGTTTGGCATTCATAGTTGAGCCTTTTGAGGCAACGAAAATGAGCACAGTAAGCACTACCCTCCAAAGTTGAAGTGGACTGTGGCTGATTTCCTGTCAAATAGTATTTATTTGTTCGTTTTTCCTTGAAAGGCCTGATTTCGTATAAGTTCACATCATAATGTGTTTTTGTTGTGGCAGATGGAGGGATTATGGCACTCTTGAGAAGCCTAACTTTGAGAATAGCTTTACACCATGGAGTAAAAAAATAAGTAAAACTTCAAAATTCCTTGTAAAACCATTTTTTTCTTTCTTAGTTGTGTATTGTTCAATGTGTTTTTTTCTTTCTTTCCCACTGCTTTTCCTGTTTGTCTTTCTTGCTATTTACTTACTTACTTAGTTACTTACTCTCTCCCTAAACATCTGGTACATAATCCGGAGAGCGGTCGATGCCACGCTTGCCTGTCCCTGGCCAGGTCCTCCAATTTCAGGTAATCCAGGCCCTCTGTGAATGCTTCATCCTCATTAAATGACCATCGAGTCGATGTGCCTCTCTTGACTCATACAAACGAGCAATTGTGATCCGTTGTATTTCAGCTGTCCCCGAGCAGTGGGGAGTGTCTGGCTCTGATGTACACCAACAACCAAGCGTTGCTCAACATGGCCCTGCGGCGACCTTCTCTGGCTGTCTGCCAGCTGCGAGACGCTTTGCATTATAATGAGAAGAATTCCAGGGATACTGTGCCAAATGATAAAGGTATCTGTTACGGTGTTGTTTTAGCTCTTTAACTTCAGATCATGATTTTTTTCCAAATCCTCCTCCCTGGACTACAACATGGTGCACCCAAGAAATCGAAAAGTACGCCCTGCGCCTTTTTCCCAGTCTCACGAGTCCACATGATGAATTTTAATTTTACTGTGGAATTTTCTTAAAGACCTTGTACTTATACTCTTTTAGCTCCAGGATTCATGCTAATAAATCTAGACCTGCAGCTTTTCTAGATATTTCATGGGGGTTTTTCACTACGGCCCATGTCCACTCTTTTTAGAATGATATCAACATTTTTTCTGCTTTCCATACAACACGCTAGAGAAGTCTGAAGACATATAAAATGACATAAAAGTGATTTTTCTTTTATGATAATATGTAAAACTTCAGGAGAATGGTTATTTCTGTTTGATCCTGCTTTACAGGATGAGTAGTAAAATTTGGATTTCTCATGTTCCTTGCGACAATCACAATAACCACAAGTCAATTTAGTTTGTCATTCCCTGAAACAGGCTCTGTTTTTTCATTTAAAAATTGTGCATGCCCACTCTCATTCACACTCACACACCCTCATTCAAACACATACACCCTCTTTCACACACACACACGCACACACATTACACACACTCACATACACACGCACACATACTCCACACACACTCACTCACATACACACGCGCGCACACACACACACACTCACACATGCATCGGCCTCTCATTTTTCATATTACCCCCTCCCACCCCACTCCCTCAACAGCAAAGCCACCACTGCCGCTGAGCTACGTGAGTCAACACTACATCCTTCTCCACAACCTGGGTGTTCTACAACTGCACAGCAAGCAGCCAGCGGCGGCGTTTGAGTGCTTCGTGGAGTGCGTGCAAGTCTACCACCGCAACCCTCGGCTCTGGCTTCGACTTGCCGAGTGCTGCATCATGCACCACAAGGAGGTGGGTTGCCGTTCTAGGGCTGCTTTCCGCGTGAGTCTCATTCTGCAAGTGGTGCTTGTATGTGTTACTTTGTACTCTTTTTTTCTTTACTTTTTTTTTCTTTTGGTTTTTTTTTTCTTTCTCTACTTTTTGTGGCACTTAAGTGACCAGAGTCTTTATCTGCTTCTTTGAAAAATGTGGCTTTATCTTGTCGTACCTAGGAACATTTCTCATTTTCGCCGCCCTCTGGCTGGTTTGTTCTTTCTGTGCGATGCCACGATTTACTTTCAGAAAATAACCATGCACAAAAAGAATTATTAGGCCCTGTCATTAACTGGCCATGAGCCATTTGGGTTCAGCTCATGTCATCTGGAATGATCCCAACTAATTTCTTTGAGGAATTGTTTGGCTCTCCTAATATACGATCACTAAAATTTCTATAATACTCTTAAATTGTAACTAATATTTTGTGTGTGTTAACATATTCTTGTTCTCTGATAAAATTATAGGCACCTGCTGCAGATGAGCCTCCAGAGAAATCGTTTTGGAATCACTACAAGAAGTTCATTGGAATTTTTCAAACTCTCTTTTATCACTAGTCTTACTTGTGTTTGTTGGACAGGTTGTGAAATTGTGAAATGGTTTCAAAAGATTCCTTTGTATTTTTCACCTGTTGTGGGTGAGGATACCGTTAGTTGTTCCTACTTTTTTTTTCTCCGTTTATTGTTTCAGTCTGCCTGTTGGTCTTAATCTATCCCCACATTAAAAGACCATAATTGTGTGGATGCACTTCTCTTTACTCAAACAAACAAACAGTGACTTTTTTACTTTCTTCTGTCAGAGCAATGATGGGGACAGAGAACATCGGCATAAGCTGGAGGTGGTGCAGGACTCCATCGGGTCTGGGTTCCACCACAAGTTGGTGCTGGGCCAAGGAACGCTCTCTGACAAAAAGAGGTAAAAGAAGGAGGCGCAGGTTTTACACACTGTGTGTGCAGCTGTTGGTTTGTATGTTCATACAGTACCTGTGATGTGGGTGGTTGGCAGCTGCTCTGGTGTTGTTTGCTTCTTCTTTCCTATCAAACATCTATCGTCCTTATCTCCCCTCCTTCTTTTTTATGTTTGTTACTCTCTTGTAACACCTCTAATCTTCTGGCGCTCAAATGACCTCATGCAGTTGTGAGCGCCTTAAAATCTCTACTAAAACAAAAATACCCGTGATGTTTGTTTTTTTACACAAAAGATGGTTGGAAGGCACCACTGGCAGGTCCTATTTCTTTTTTTTCTGTAATTTCTGTCCATCTTTTTCTTTTCCTGCTCTTTTTCGCTGCCATCTTGTTGGTGTGCTTCTCTTCACTGAAATTATAACTGCAAAACAAAACAAACTGAGAAATTATCCTTGGTTGATTCATGTCCTGACTGTTCTTGTCATCCTCATCTGTCTTGCCACTTGATTATTATTCATGAACTTGGCTGAAGTAGTGGTTTCCCCTCCACCAGCACCCCGTCAAGTGGAGTGTTTCCCAACCTGAACCTGGGCTTTGCCTCCTTCTGTCTGCAAAATGCTCGCTCGCTACTGCCCACAGACCCACAGGATGTTGAACCTCCAGCCCAAGATGAGCAATCCGAGTTCAGGTAAAGCAAACTCACAAGCAAACTTTTCCTTACTGAGGAGATAGGCTTTTTAATCTTGTCTATATGGTTATGTCCATGTGTTTATGTAGTTAACTGCAAATTTGCTTCTTGTAGGATCAAAAAGTTACTGTTTATAAGTAATTTAACTATCTTTTTTTTTTTCATCTAATAGGTCAGTCATTACATCAATGTAGTTAGAATTGTTTTCATGCACTTTCACTTTTTCATCCTCTGTTGCCGTTGATCGTCGAGGGGAGAGGTATTTTTCTATGGTAAGCCTGCTCCGCAGCTCCTTCAATTGGGATACTTACTGTATAATGAATAAAAATCACATTCCATTGCTGATTGTATGGATTGTACATACCTCCTTTGACAGCCCGCCCCTGGCAGACCCTGTGCTGGTGTCAGCTGAACCCTGCAACCCGCTGAGGGAGACAGAAGTTGCCAACTTGAGGTAAACTGATTGCAGAAGTTTTTACAGCTCTTTCGATACAATTTAGGTGTTTTTGGAAGTAGGTACTTAGGTTTAAATCCGTGTGTGTTCACGTCCCCCAATACAAATCCGGACCAGAATGCACAAGTTCCCTCCACAAATTAAGTGGTGTATAATGCTAAATCGCCTATTTATTTGACAGGGGCAAAAAGACTGCATTGTTCTTTGGTGCGACACCTGCTCAAATTTAAGTGCAGTGGTTCATTGAAGAGCCTCCTTGCTGCTAAAAAATTTAGTTTCTAAGAATTTTTTGTGTACAGATTTCTTTAGTTTACAGAGTGCTGCTGCATCTGCATAATATGATTCCTTATGTCCCAGGAATAAAAGTTGGAACAATTTTTTTTTGTAACCAAAGCTTGTTTTCTTTATTTCCTCTGGGATAGGAAGTAGTGTTGATAGGGGCGTTAAACTCATACCATTTCACCATTTTTCACCAAGGGATAGGAAATACTATTACAAATTTAAACTTCTGACTCCTCAGTAGCGTGAAGGCATAAGTTCTGTGTTGTTTGCTCTTTGATAACAATAATACTCGTTTCGTATAGTAAATGGCTGCCACTCATTCATCATTGTTCTTTTCTTTTGTCATTCCACCCAGACAATGTACTCAACAAATGCTTTTTGTAACAAATGCTTTCTGTTGTACCCAACATTTACTCTGATATGGTAGTTTATGTCTTTGTTTATTTTTTGTTTTAGTAAGTGTTTTACGGCACTTTCAACACAATTAGGTCATATAAGTGCCAAAGATTAGAGGTTTTACTAGGAAGTAACAAACACAAAAAAGGAGGAGAAGGAGAGATAAGGTCGATAGGTGTTTGATAAGAAAGAAGTAGCAAACCACACCAGAGCACCCGCCAACCACACATGTTTATTACTTCTTCTTGTGTATGCTGTTTACATTTCATATAGTTGGGGGTGCTTCTCGTTGTAATATTGAGTCTTTTCTCTTTTCAGTAAATCTTGTCTTGACTTTTTCTTATATTCTTTTTTCTTTCATTTAAAAAAAATGTGAACATATTGTTTTGCCTTTTCCTAATACAGTACTTTATTTTCCACAGGTGTTCCATCCTGGCAGCCAGTGCGTATGTGGCTCTGTGTGAGAATGAGCACTACAAAGCCCTCACCTTCTCTGTGGACCTTCTGAGACAACCCAACTTGTCTCCTGCACAAAGGTATGAGATTGGTATACATGAAGCTACAGAGAGTACCTAGCACACCTCTGTGATTGGCCCAAATATAGGTGACGTATTTCCACCGTCTATTTTGGTCTTCTTCCGGGGTTTCCCTCGTGAGTTGACTAGAAATTAAGGAATATGATAATTTGATTGAAGCCTGCACTTTTCTTTTTCAAATAACCTGGATCAAATCTAAATGAAGGTGACATGTGTAATTATAAGTATGAACATAAACTGGAAAGGGTGAGGGTGTTTATCTAAATATGTATCAAGACATACCTATCTTTGCCATGTGTGTGTGCGTGTGTGTGTGTGTGTGTGTGTGTGTGTGTGTGTGCAAGTGTGTGTGCAAGTGTGTGTGCAAGTGTGTGCTTGTGTTTATATGCATTTGTGTATCTACCAGCATGCCAGTGTGTGCATGTGTGAATCTTTTTGTTCCTTTGTTCGTGTACGTGTGTTTGTGTGTGTATGTGGATGTATGTTCATCTATGTGTGTGCTTGAGAATAATATATTATAATGTATTGAGAGTGTCTGGAATGGCTGAGCAATAGTAAAATGCATTTCAGCTGTATATTTGTTGTACAAAATAGCAATAAAGATCACTATTATTATGATGATGAAAGAATAATAATAAACTGTGATAGTGATAGATCTAGTTAACTCGCGAGGGAAACCCCTGAAGACGACAAAGACAAAAATAGATGGCGGAAATACATTATCTATATTTAGGCCAATCACAGAGGTGTGCAAGGTGCTCTCTGTAGCTTCATGTGATTTGTACTAATTATTTTGAAAATATTTTGAAATTTTTACTGGGGTCTGTTGTATAACCGTTAGGCTCATCGTTGTTGCACGCAGAAGACTTGAGTTACATTCCAAAGTGAGGAAAGTTACATCAAGTGTCTCCGTCTATCTGCTAGGATGTTATATCCCACTCAGTCAGAGTTAACCCCGCAAGGCGAATTCAAAGCACCCCCACCTTCTAAGTGTGAAGTGGCCCTCCTCCTTTGTGAGAAATGGCCCACCTCCTTAGTGTGAAGTGGCCCACCTCCTTAGTGTGAAGTGGCCCACCTTCTAAGTGTGAAGTGGCCCACGTCTTTAGTGTGAAGTGGCCCACCTCCTTAGTGTGAAGTGGCCCACCTCCTAAGTGTGAAGTGGCCCACCTCCTAAGTGTGAAGTGGCCCACCTCCTTAGTGTGAAGTGGCCCACCTCCTTAGTGTGAAGTGGCCCACCTTCTTACTGTGAAGTAACCCTCCTCTTAAGTGTGAAGTGGCCCACCCCACCTCCTAAGTGTGAAGTGGCCCACCCCACCTCCTTAGTGTGAAGTGGCCTGCCCGACCTCCTGAAGTGGCCCACCTCCTTAGTGTGGAGTGGCTCACCTCCTAAGTGTGAAGTGGCCCACCTTCTTACTGTGAAGTAACCCACCTCCTAAGTGTGAAGTGGCCCTCCCTCTTAGTGTGAAGTGGCCCACCTCCTTAGTGTGAAGTGGCCCACCCCACCTCCTTAGTGTGAATTGGCCCACCTCCTTAGTGGGAAGTGGCTCACCTCCTTAGTGTGAAATGGCCCTCCTTCTTAGTGTGAAGTGACCCACCTCCTAAGTGATCTAGATTGTGTTGATGTGGGCGTGACACATTTACAGTACAAAAAAAAAAAAGCAACTCTTAGATGTACAGGATTAAAGCAGGAACTAAGGTGCTGACTGAAAAGCTAACAGAGCAGCCAAAGAGGTGTGCTGCCAAATGTCCACATTTCACCCTTTTGTCCCACTGGGTTGTCAGTGTAAAGGCCAGTGTGCTTTTAAATCTGATTTAAGAAAAATGAGGTAGTTGTTGAAGGTTTCATATTGTTTATTTCTCACTTTTTGCAGTGAACAAAAGTGTTTGGTGCAACAGTGCTTTTTATGAATGTGTGTGGACTTACTGGTTACATCTTGGGGGGGAGGTCCAACCATTGAAATTAGAGGGCTGATCATTGATTGGGTAAATCTGACTTTCCCTTCTCTTTTGAACTTGTAAATGGCTCAACTCTGCCATGTCGCACCAGACCCTAGTTTTCCTGAATTTTAGCTTTCTAGATTCAGTATGAAAGAAAACAGCACACCCCTCTTAGCTATATGTATACTTACGTTTGCTTTCTGTAAATGTGATTTTAGGTTATGACGCAGATGGTCTCAGCATAATGAGATGAGGAGATTTAAGAGGTTCTTTGCTGTAAGCCAAAGGGAAAAGATAAAAAGTATATTTTTCAAAAAGAAATTGGTATAATTGAGAACATGCCATCAGTATGCTGTTAAAATATACAAAGTTGAGAAAGTAAAATTTTGGAGGAGAGGAAAATCTTTCATTTATTTTAACGATTGTACCTACCTCATGTATATTTTCTTGCTTTTTTCTACATTTAGAATATGAATTTTGACAAAATATTTCTTGAGCACATTTATCTAATACCACAGGTTAAGAAACGTCAATGTAAAAAAAATTTCAGCTCTTTGGGTTCTGTAAAAAGTTAAGTTGTTTCCCTCATCTGATCCGGACTTTGAGAATTGCTTTGTTAGGGAGACAACTTTCTGGGCCTTCGGCATATTGTGATACGGTGGCCAGTTCCTTTCCCCGCTGCCTTTACTTCCCCTACTCGAAGTCAGGTACCCATTACTGCGGGATGGGCATGAGGGGGTGAAAGAAATGCGTGTCCAAACCATGGCTTGAAGCCGGACTTTCTGCTTCAGAGACGAGCTCTCTATATAGTACAATTTAACAGCTGATCCACAATATGTCTCATGTTCACCCCAGATATATAAAAAAGGATCCAGTGTACAGTTAAAAAAAATTTTTCTCCTGCATGTTCCCTCAGATATTTAGGCCACATGTACAAGGGTGAGGCTCTGGTAGCGCTGGACAGGATCGCTGATGGTGTGGATGAGCTCAACCCGGAGAATGTGACAGACGTGAGCACGACTCTACCGGAGGCCAGTACAGAACAAGGTGAGCTTCTGCGCTGTATTATTTAAAAGAAAAAAGCTGCTAAAGCTGCAATAGACTAGGGGCATCATTAGCTCAGTTGGTATCGTGCTGGACTGTAGAGCATATTATGGCCCTTGTTCGAATCTTCAGCGGGGTGTTCTGAACTTGGATTTGTTTTGGGGAAGTTAAGTCTCTCCTTCCATTTGGCTCGGTCCTGCAAGAGATGGACATGGTGTTAAAAGGGACGTTAAACCTATATAATTTTATGCTTTTCTTTGGCAAGAGACTGGATGACTTGAGAATTTAAAAAATAACCCTATTTATAGCCTCAAAAAGGACACTACAAATATAAATTGATCATTTCAGGTATAAGCCCTGTTTATCAGACACTCTGTCAATGACTATCTCTCTGAAAGTTACAATGTGTATGCACATGTAATGACAAAAATCAAGAATCCATCAAAGAAAAATGTCCTATGATCAGGGAAATAAAAATAAATGGCAACTTCATTCGTCTGTATCTGTAATTAATTTTTGCTGCTTTTTGATGACACAATACCAGTCACTCTTGATATTGTAATTTCAAACTGTTCCATACCTTTGCTCACTGCTGTGATATAGCACTTTGTATGTGTGTGTTAAATTAGATAGGGTGGAAGCTTTTTTCTGCTGTTTCTATTTGAGAAGTCCACATGAAAAACGGACATAGTCACTAACTGAAAATCATGAGGGTATCAAATTTGAACTCTTGTTGGCTCATGAATATGTTTCTGTTCAACTGTTGGTTGCTTATTTTTGCTAGATTTCCCATTCAACAAATATACAATAAACCACCAATCAAACAAATATGAAGTTATGAGTCCACAAGCTTTTAAAATTGACATCCTCACAATTTCCAGTTTGTGACTGTGCCCGTTTTTATAGTGGACTCCTCGTTTGTAAGCAGGTGTTTGCTGATATTGGACTTAAGCATGAAATAGATGGATTGCAATGTCACAGAGTAGCCAGTCTTATAGGTACTGAAGTTTTAGCACATATAGTAAAGTATATTTTCTTTTTTGCTTTTGAGAGTGAACTATTTTTTGTTGTTGTTCAGATTGTTCTTACAAAATTCTATTATTTTCCTCAGAAAAAGACCAGGAGGGGCTAGCTGAAACAAGAGGTATACACTCTATACTATTAAATGATACATCATTTTATGTTTTTACTGAGAACACATGTTTTCTTATGTGTCTGACTTATGTATTTTCTCAATTTTTCGTGTCTGTACCCAAGTGATGTAAATTCTTCCCTTTTGTATTTCTATGTTTGAATGTTTTGTGTCACAGAAGCTGGTAAAGGCACTCTGTCATTTGCTTTCAATGAAATTTCAGTAAATCATCTATTTTCCTAATTATGAAACTTCTCTCTTAATAATGTTTGCCCAGTTGAGGATCAGCAAATTATCTTTCTGTACTGTTTGTCTAATAGAGGATTAATGAATTACCTTAATTTATATTATGTTTCTAATGGCTAAAATAGCACCTAGAAATGGATGGTTGATGCCTCTATCAAATATTTTTTAAATGGACAGATATGTTTCTAATTGTATTTTGTTTAAAATACTCTCCTAATGAAGGATCAGTAACCTATGTTATCTTGACTTGTGTTTGTAACTCCTATCTCTCTCTCTCTCTCTCTCCGTGATGTTTGTGTTCCTCCAGAGGCTATCGTCCCGTGGAGTCCCAGCAGTGTGGGCGTGGCCAGGGCTCTGATGCAGTACAACCTGGCTGTGGCTTACTCCATGAGGACGGAGTATGGCCGCGCCCTCAAGGCTCTCACCGAGGTCACTCACTTACCTGTGTCTTTAGTTGTAGAGCAAGTTTTACAACACTTGCCACATGACCAGTTTATATATGTGTCTTTAGGTTTAGTTTTAGTACGAGTTTTACAGCACTTGCAACATGGGTCAGGTTGTATAAGTGGCAAACATTTTGAGGTGTTACTGGAGAATAGTATACTGAGAAAAGAAAGAGAGATAATGATGATAGATGTTTGATAGGATACCTGTTTCTGAAACAGAGATTACAATTTTTGTATTGAAAAATATCATGTAAGTATTATTGTCATGCTACTCATGGTTGTAGTATAATTACTAAAGTGGTTAACCTGCCAGTCTTGAACTAGCAGTGGACTATGATAGTACACTTAAAATTGTCCAAGACTGGCAGCCATTGTTGAAGAGAAAAGTGGTTATCTTATACTTGTGAACATCTTTGGCAGTGTCATTATTATATCATTATAATATTAAAACACGCAAAGGGAGTTGGGGGTGGGGG